CTGGATTGGCACTGTTTACCAGTATTTGACAGGGAAAAAATCTCTTTTTTTGCTTCACTGAGCAATGGCAATTTTGTCCAGGCTGGAAATGGATGAGAGAGGAGAGATCACTCAGTGATTACCTGTTCTGTTCACTCTCTCTAGGGCATCTGGCATTGGCCACTGTCAGAAGACAGGATGCTGGGCTAGATGGATGTTTGGTCTGACCCACTATGGCCATTCTTATGTTCTTCTTATGGTGTCTGATTCACTAGCTAAGATGTTAGTCATTGTTCAGCTTATAAAATTAGTTATTATGATTTGTATTTGTAAAATAGTTATGAGAGGCTCCTTTTAGACTGTGCTTCCATTATGCTGGACTGTGTAGAAAACCACAGAATATTTACTACCCAGCCCAGAGAGTTCATTTTCTGGGATTAAGACAAAATGCAATAGATGGAAGAAATTAACCAATGGGATAGGAGAGCAAGATGTCAGTAAAATAAATACACTGTACATAAGAATCAGGAGTCTCTGATCATGGCTGACATCTGCCTGTATTTTGTATCAGCAGATATGAGAGTTAAAGAGGGATTTAAACAAGGAGAAGGTGCTTTTATAGTCACTGTCATGAGTGAAAATAAGAAGTGAGATAACAGGCCTGTATTCATACTACTATAATTCAAAAATGTCTTCTTTGGTGAAATCTTGCCTCTACTAGAGTCATTGGCAAACACTCCCTTTTTACTGGTTGATTCTGGGGGCATTAAAATGACAGAAAATTTACAATGGCTCTATAATTTCCATGTGAAAATAATATATTTTGAGGACCTGCCTTTGTTTCTTTATTTTATTTAAGAAAAATGCCTAATGATTTCAACACATATTTTGCATAATTAAGGATTGCAAGATGCTGCCCTGTACTAGTTAATACAGTGCTTAAGTGTATTCTCTTTTTGAAACAGAGGAGGCAACACTATGTTACTATGACATATACATTGCGTATAAGAGAGCACTGCATAAGACACAGTTGTACTGTATTGGACTTGGATTTGAGTCTTTTGAGGCATCAGCAACCATCTCTCTCATACTCAGATGGAAATAAACTGTAGTTTCCCAATTTCCCCACCCTATCAGTGAGTTGCTGGCATGCATCTTGAGGGTTGCCCTAGACTTCATCTTTTTCAACCCTTCTCCACCAATTGCCATTAAAATCTTCAGAGTTTATTTGTTTGTTTGTTTTTAAAACCAGGTACCTAATACAAACCAACTCTGTGTAGTTGATATTTTTCAAACAATGCTCTTCGTTTGTTTCTGAGTGAATACCCATGTTTATGAGAATGTTAGAGATCAAAATGATAGGGATAGATGGGCAAGATGTGTTAGTGGCACTGTGGTGTGCAATATAAGCTTTTGCTTGGCTCCACTGCTAATCTCAGCTTTGACCGGAAAGTACCAGCATGTTCTAAGGATTATATAATATGTCCTCAAGCTAGAGGCTTTGATTTAGTAAAGTCACTGTTCTGAAAAGCATCCTCTAAACTGATTTTGGGTTCTATCAGACAATAGCTTATTAGTGATGTCATTTTCTCCTCCCCCTAAGAGAGTTTCCACTAGTCTTTGTTTGTTTAAATGTGATCATTTTCTAATTTAACAAAAAAAATGACATTTGCTTGTCATCCACTTACTCACTTATTCTAATCTAACAAAAACAAAACACCGTATTTGACATTTACGTGTTATTTACTTATTTATAAGGAATGCAAGCTGAAAAGCCACATTTCAACACAGCAACTAGGTCGTCAGTTTCACATGAGCAACATGCTACAAACAGCTTCCATAACATTACTGACTAGCCATAGCAGATTGGCAACATGTCAAATGATAAATCTTGAAATTTAAATAATCTGTGCCTCACACAGAGAATATGACAAAAATCACAAAATGCACTGATCCTTTCTGCAGCCCAGCACATGCACAAGAAGCAGAGTGATGACAAACATATAAAAAGAAATAAACATTAATATCAGCTCTGAGCAGCCAATGGCAGCCCATGGCAAGAAGATAATCTGAGCTGCAGGGAGCAGAAGATAGATTTTAATTTTGTGTGAGGAGAAGTGGAAAGGTTTATTCAGTGTTGCTATTCACAATAGGAAACCATCCTCTTGAACGTCTATGTTCTTTCTCTCTCTCTGGCTCAAGCAGTGATTTTGTTTTTCGGAGTTATGTCTCCACAGTTCAGAGCAGATAATGGAATATTGCTCCCTGCCATTGACTGTATTGCTAGCCAGGTCATAACACATAGTGTCCAAGTCCAGGGAGTATAATTGCAGGGGTGGAGTCAATAAGGAACATAATCTGATTACTAATGAAGATTGTGCCAACCAATGGAATATTTTTTCAGTGATTCCTTGACTCAGAAAATGAATTAATTTTTATAAACATTAAAAATTGGTTGTTGCATCAGGTTTTCAGCAAAATACTCCCATATACCCTTCAAAAGATAGGAAACAATATACTGCAATATTACATTTTGTGCAGTAAATTACATCACAGTTCAGGACTTTATTGTTTTGTTTAGATTTATTTACTTTGGAATTATTGTTGTTTCCTTCAGAAATATTTTAAGCAGTATCTCTTCATTTTTAAGTAAGCAAATGGCTCCCAAGAACAGTAAACCACTCTAATGAGAAATCTGAAATACATGAACTGTACACTAAGTATTATATGCGAATATAAAAATTTCAGCAACTGAAGATAATTAAGCATTGCAATACTTACCATGTGAGATACTAAAAGCTCAAATCCCCCCACTAAATACGCAGGTAAGGACCTCCTTTAATAAAAGGAAGTTAGAACTAATCATGGCAATTCATTTCTTCTAAGACCAGAAAGGCCATAAACATACTGCAAAGGAAAGTGCGTATGGTATGAGAAACTGATACTGAGAATTGCCAATTTAGAGATTATACTACAAGTTAAACCTCTTTAGTCTGACATTCTCTTGTCCAGCAATATTCATGGTCCGGCATGATTTTAATTAGCTGGATGTCCACTTCTAGGCGTGGCCAAGTTTCCAGTGGTCCATAAAGTTTGTTTACAGCCAGCAATCCTGGCACTCAGTGTTCTGTGCTGTTATTTACCTCTAATTTACCCCAAATGTCTTCTAAGAGCTCAGCAGCAATGGAAATGTTGGTAACACTGTTGGACAATATTGATCTCCTGTGGTTTAGCAAATTCTCTGGTTTGCCACTGGTCAGGTCTCAAAGTTGCTGAACTAGAGAGCTTCAACCTGTAGTACTATCTATGGACAAGAAGGACTAATAATGGCAAAGATCCAATACAATGATTCAGTAAACTCACTCCTGCTCATTTCAATCCAATATATATTTTAATTAAACTACCTGCTCTACTTAATTATATGAATTAATCCAAAGTATATGGATTAATAATTCCAGATTTCTTCAAAGTTATAAATTTTCCTCTGGGAGGCATTTTGTTAAATTCTATAGGAAATCAAGGATATCATATGTCCTTAAAATCAACTTATGTATAGTTTCCATCAAAAAAAGCAGTAAACAAGATCATTGCATTTGTGTCAAATAGCTACTTGTTTTAGTTCTAAGACCTGTATACAAGAAAAAGACACTCCCAGTCCTTGGACAGGCAGCAGCAAACGGCTTTTGGAATCTTCCATTACCACATATACATTTGACAGCAGACAGATTAATATACTTTCTCCTTGCATTAGAATCTTAGGAAACTCTATTTTTATGAAGAATGCACCTTGTCCTCTGGTACAAGTAGACATATTTTTACATTAATTTACAACAACATTTTAAAATGTGTTAAGATTTCATTTTAGAATGTAATACTCACCCAAAGAACATTTTACTTTATAATATGATTTGTTTACCTTCTTTACAAATGAAGCATTACTTATATCCTCATGCAGCTTGTTTAGTGTAGTATCTACCTATATTGCATTCTTTTGCATATTATATAGAAGGAACTGTAGCTTCCTACTTTTTCATAGACTAGAAAAATATTATGGATAATTTCTGTAATGAATTATGGAGAGTTTAGAACTAATGGTGGCTATGTTTAAATAGTTTTATATTTAGCATTTAATATTTGTGTAGGACCAATTCTGGACATCAAACCTGGGAGAAAAAAATAAAGCAACTAAAATCTACAGTACTTACTCTATAGAGTTGTGTTGACACCATTCGGGAGCTCCACTGACTCAAAATAAAATCACAGTCCTTTATCCCCTTTCAGATTATAGCCTCTTATCCAAATAATATCAGAAAGGATAAAATTTAGTCCATTCATCTAGCAAATATTTTCCTCTGTTTCATTAACATGCATAGCACAGATAACAATTGTTCAATTTAAGGGTTTTTACATGATTACAGTGTAAAAAATCATCATACAAATGTAGTTTTTGTCAGACTCAGTAATGCCCTTAACTTAATAATACCCATATATTGCATACTCATAAAACAAGAGTTTAGCTAAACCAATTGTGCAGAAAGCAGCAAGTAAATATGGTTAATTGCTTGGGAGGATTATGGAATATGCATTATTATAGGAAGCACAATTATGTTCAGAGAGACTCACCATAGATTAGAGGTAAAAGGCCAAAGGAAAATGGAAAAAATACTGTAGGACATATGGTGAAAATCAGGAATTCTTATTAAATACCCCTTAGCTATTGTCAATAGAAGAACCCACATAAATTAAATCACTACGACAGTTATGTACTGTAAACTAGCTAAGGCTACAGCAAATATTGCAATCCCTCCCCTCTTCCATTTAAACCCTAATTTTTACTGAGGTTTAAATGGATGTGAAAGAGAACATTTTTCAGTTTACAGTATAGAATATATGATGATTTTGTACATCTATGTAATTAACTGTAGCATTTTATACTGAGTTATTAAATGCTTGTAAATGGTACACAATCTTTTAATCTACTTTGCATAATTTTATAATGGAAATTTTGAATAGGCACTTACTGGAATTACAGTTAATCCTGATACAGTCTAGATGGGGAAGAATAGATGAAAAATGAAAATTTATCCTTCAAGGTAATAGCTGCAGACATCCAATAAATCACAGTCCACCCTTCCGGGGACAGACACATGCAAATATGGCCACTCCAAATGATTGGTCTTTACATATTACTATAACCCAGATATAGTGCAATAAAACTTTATAAGTAAAAATGGAAGTATAGGTCAAAATGGCCAATTTCAAACAAAGCTACATGGTGACAAATCTAAGTGAAAAATCAGGTTTAGCTGTCAAAAATGCTTGATTGAGGCAGGCCACAACTTTTTCCCCATCTGTGAAAGAACAGATAACTTTTCTCAGTGTAATTAAAAAGTGCTCCGTCACAATGGGGCATAGAGTAGGCCAAGCCACCATCGTACATCTTGGACCACTATTATATACTATACTTCAAAGGTGGATGTTTTATCTTACTATTAAATTAAGAAGTAAAATATAAAATACTTTCTAAGTAAATCGTCTTTCACACTGCAGTGTATTTTTTACTTGATATAAATATATACAATCAATTCACAGCAGAACAATGACTCTATTTAAAATGTCTTATTAATATCTCAGAACATTTTATTTGGCAAATCTAGGAGTTTGAGAATATCATATTGTTTCATCTTACTTCTCACCTACTGTAGAATTCACTAATCTTATTTTTTCAGAAAAAACATACAGGTGTTGATTTTTTTTCTTTTTCTTTCTTTTTATATATACATATATATCTATAGAGAGAGAGAGCAGTATCTACTTTATATGAAAACAGATTGGCTTGCTTTGGAGAATCATTTTGTTGGATTATGACCCCAGAATTTTAAAATATTCAACACTGTTTTATATATACAGTAATTTCTCTTCAGCACCTTTGAGGAACATAAATAATATAAAACCTAGATTTTGTTTCCATATAGCTGAGTTTGTCATGTGTCGTCAACCGCATCAGAAAAGTGGTTGCAAACAGCCAGGGACCAACACTTACACACCTCTTACTACAGAAAGCTTTCCTGAAGGAGGCCCCACGTTGCCATTTTGTGATTTAAAAGTTTTTCTTAGTTTGCAGTAACCCTAGGCTATCATAAGAGGAAACTATAAGAAACAGTAAAAGAAGACCAAATGGTAGTCTTCATATTTAATTCATTTCTCTCTCCATTAACCTTCCTTTCCCTCCTCCTCCCCCTCCTCCCGCCTCAGTAAATATCAGAATAGTAACTCAGTGACCTACTTTCTACATAATAGTGTGAGCTCATCATCATGTTAGCTACACAAATTAATACTATATCTATGAAAGCACCATAAAACTAACTAATTTAAATAATTATTCGTCTTGAAAACAATAATGTAAAATAAATCACTTTAAGAAACCTATGTGAATTTTTATTCAATGTGTTTTTTCTCTCCCATACTTTCTCCCTCTCCAAAAAAAAGGGGGGGGGGCAGAAATGAAAAGGGTTTGTGGAGTTTGATAATTATTACAGAAAACAGTAACCTAATTTTTTGTTAATTTTATACCAAACCAGGAAAGCATTTTATGCATTTATTTTTTTCTGTAGAAGGGCTTGTGTTTTTTGTGTTCACATGGCTGTTCGCTGAGGGTCGCAGACTTTGGGCATTGAAGGGTTGTGTAATCTTTTGACACAGATATACCACTATAGAATTGTTCAAAAAAGAAAACATGAATTTCACTAGATATTTGCTAAAAAGAGGAAACCAATAATGCCCATCAGTTGACATAATGTTCAATATTTCATGTGTGAAAATTAGAAGTTTTTTGATTAGGTACATTTATGATATGTTAGTTGGTGGAGCTAAAATTAGACTGACCTACATATTATAGCTGGAACAGTTTCTCTCTGTATTCTCAACTTCTTTAGCTGCTAATTATGAAGAATCTGTGGGTAGAGACCAATTCTCAGAAATCAAGCAAGTTAAAATTATTTCACCTAGAAATGTCACTGATGAACTGGCTTTCTCTTTTTAGAAAACACAATAGTACAAAATATATTATGATGGACTATGTTAGACTGTGTAAAGAATAAAAAATGCAAAACCAAAAGAATAAACATCAGTAACTTTAAATAATGGATGTGCGTGTATGTATGTATATATATATATATATATAGATATATATATCTATATATATGATACATATATATAAAATTTAATTTTAATGCCAACAGGCTGTTGAATAAATGCTTGCAAGCAAAATAATAAGAATAAAAGTAAGAATGCTGAAGATGTTAATTTCTGGGAGGGGGAAGGTTTGTTACCTAGGTTGACCGTTAGTTTAACTCGTCCTGCATCCAGCTCTAAACGAAGTGTATCTGCTGATTCCCTAGAAGTAGTTGCCATTAAAATACCATAAGCTCTCTGAGACCTGAAGCGTAAGGACACATCTTCTGCCTCAGTATGCATCACAAGAGGTAGCTGTATCTTCATAAACATACTTCCGTCATAGCTTAAAACTGTTGCCTCTGGAAATAGACAAGAAAACTGCTAGTTAAAAATAAACTGTTACATTTTATTTATTAAGCCGCTTGTAGTAAAGCCTACACATTTATATAACCAAAAGACCCAATACCATCATGTTGAAAAAAAGAACAATAATTGTTGGGATACATAAGAAAAGTTAATTTAAAATCATAAATCTCAGGTTTTGGGGAAAAACAAGGCAACTTTTAGACTTAATTTAATGAAGTCGACTGCTATATTTTTAAGATTTAATCTGACAAATACTTAGATTTGTGCACTACTTTATATACATGAACATAAACTCATACACAAAGGACTTGCAAGACTAGGGTGACCAGGTGTTCTGTTTTTCAAAGGGACATTACTGTATTTAAGCCCTCCTGAAGGTGTCCCTATTTTTTCTTAAAAATAGGGATGTTGAGTTGGCTACTTGCTTCCCTCCCCTTGCTGCCTCTGTTTCAGAGGCAGCAAGGGGGGGGAGAAGCAGTGACTAGTGCAGGTGGGGTGTGGTGGGGGCAGAGCTGCAGCATCCTCGAGCCAGCTCGCACTGCCTCCAGGAGCTAACCCTGCTGAGGTTCTGCATTTTAAATGTAGTAAGAGCCTGCAGGGCTCTGGGGCCTGCCAGCTCCCGGATGCTGCAACTCTGCATTTTAAATGCATTAGGAGTTGGGCTGATGGGTGCCCAGCTCTTAATAAATTGAAACTGCAGAGCCGACCACTCGATTAGCTGATTAACCTCAATTTAATAATCCCTACTTAAAAATGGGCAAATTGTCCCGTATTTTCTCTCTCCACTTCATAGAGTACTTGAACTAAAAGGGACATAAATTTTATAATCCCTACTTAAAAATGGGTAAATTGTCCCGTATTTTCTCTCTCCACTTCATAGAGTACTTGAACTAAAAGGGACATTGAAAGGTCACCAATCCCAGTCTCCTGCACTTATGGCACGATCAAGCACCACCTAGACTGCGGTGGGCAAGATGTGGACTGCAGACACCTTGCCATGACCCTTAGGCACAGAGCAGCTCACACCACTTTAAATGGCTGGCTGATCTATGCTCCGGATGCTGGGGAGGGAAGGGGAGTCTTCACCCACTGCCCCTGTTCCCAACACACTCTCCCAGCTCCCCATGGCAAGTTACTGGCCAATAGGGGCTGAGAAATTTTGCTGGGAGCAAGAACAGCATGCAAAGCTTCCTACCTCTGTCCCATCTTCCCTCCCTATGCTAGAACAGAGCCACATGGGGCAGGCAGGGGTTTTGACCAGCTGAGGATTGCAGAAGACAGACTGAGAGCCTGCCTAACGATTCTACAAGGCTGCTGGCTGGGAGCTGCCTAGGTAAATGTCTCCCAGCCACAGCCCACCTCAGGCACCCCAACTACCTGCCCTATACCACCACCTAAACCCTCTTTACCCATCTCGCCATCTCTTCAAGGTCCCACCTCCCTCCCAGATCCTGCATTCGTCCTACACCTCTCCCTCAGGCCACAATCATCTCCTGCATCCGTACCCCCTTCCTGACTCTGCACTCCATTCCTCTTCCTCAGTTCACCACCCAAATCCTTTGCACCCCCTTCCTCCTCTTCTTCCACATCACAACCTCCTCCCAAAACCTGCACCTTCTCCTACACACCTCCCCCAGACCAGAATCCTCTCCTGCATCCATACCCTCTCCTGGACCCTTCACCCCAAGCTCCTGCCCCAGATCACAACCCCCTCCCTCACCCAAACTCCCTCTGACACCCCACACCTTCTTCTGCACCACAATTCCTAACCCAAGCTCCCTTCTGCATCCAACTCCCATCCCACAGTTGTGTGGCCCTTGACCACTTACCAAAATCTTGGAATGGCCCTCCATTAAAAATGATTGCCCACCCCAATCTAGGCAATTTCTGACAAGTATTTGTCTATCGTGGTCTTAAAAATCTCCAATGATCGAGATTCCACAATCTTCCTGGGCAATATATCCCAGTATTTAACAATCCTGACTCTTAGGTGGAAATGACAGGGGGAGTGTCTTGCCCCTACTTCTAAATCTGTATACCAAGGAAGAGTTGGGTTGTGGATAGTCTTTGCACAGCTACAGGGAATTCTATTTTCTCTCGTTCTAGGATTTCATCTTTTTTTCTATATCCTTGCTGTTGTGGTTTCCTACCTAGTATTACTTGTTAGAACAAGTTTATGTAGGATATTCTGGAAAGCTTTGGTCAATCTTCCCTCCCCCCCACTCCAAGGTTAGGCAGCATGTTCCTCCATAATGAAAGAATGGCTCATGCAGCATGAAGTCTTCCTGTCACTCTCTCTTTTTATAATTTCCTCTCCGCAAGCAGGAGATCTTGGTTTCCTTCCATGCAAGTTTTACATCCACTCGGGCTTGTTGATTTAGCATGATGATAGCCTGAATAAGTGAAGGAAGTTTGGGGTGGAGTGGTTATGAGTGAACGGATGTGAGTCTCAAAGGACTATTATGAATTCCTCACATGAATAAAGGGATGTTGGCTACATATTGCTCACCTAAGCGATGGCCCTTTCACATTGAGTGAGAGCCTAGTATTAAGACCTGCACTGGACAGATATCTACTGAGCAATTTGGGGAGATCTACCCTCCCTTACTTATTTGAATGGGCTGCTTACAATTAATAAAGTAATGGCCTCATGAACAGCCAGTCTTATTACTTCACACGTCAGGCTCTATCCAGTTCCATTTAACTGGCTTTGATTCATGACAAATTGCAGGCTGATATACACACCTCTGTCTGAGAGAAACACATCTTTCCTGGAAACCTGCACTGCTAGGTTGTCTCACATTTGGGGTTACAATAGATTATTATTTTCCCCACCTTCAGTGGCTCCAACGAGTTTTGTTTGATTAAAGGTACTGGAACAGAAGCCTAAGCTCTAAATGGCTGTGCTAATGTTTAATAATATGCTACTTGTTAAGAGGAGGCACAGCCTTTAAGACAGGGAATAACAGTTTTACATTGCTGGAAGCACAACAAGGAAAGAGATTTTATTAACAATCATAGAGGCCATTAATACTAGCAGGTTTCTTTTTCTTTTTTTATGTCAGCATCAAACCTCATGTACCGGGAAAAATTATCCAACGGAAGTGAGATACTAATCCTTGCGTTGTAAAAACTGATGAAATGCAATACCTCTTGGATGAATTTATGAACTGCTAACTTTGCTTAAAGAAATATTTTCCTTCTATGCTCAAAAATGGTATTATCATTATTTACATACCTAGTGAAATTCTCAGGGCCTGATTCTGTTTCTATTTGAAACACTATCATCAAATTAATTCCAATAAAGTCAGCGGAATTAAACAGATGTAAAACTGATGTGAAAGGATAATCAGGCTGTTAATGTGGATGAAGGCTGGGGTTTTCTAAAACACCTAAGAGAACAGAGAACTCAATTCCTCTGGACTTTCCTATGAGTTTTTCCCTTGTCTCCTTTTGAAAAAAACAGTTAAATTATTTATTGTTCTTTGATTTATTTTGTTTCCAAAATGAAGACAAACTGTTCTTAGAACCCCTCAAAGGGCCAACGGGGAGGAATGTTGTTTTTCAATTTAAACCTTGAACAATTTGGGAATAAAATATCAAAACCAAAGGGTTAGAATTAAGGAATAAAATTATAATAAAAATGTTTTCCATTTGAAATTCAAGACCTGAATCTGTCAAGTGAACAGAAAATGAGTTTGCACCTGTCTCCTTTTCTTTTACATTCCCTGCCTTGTTCCCTTCAATGCGTCTTCTTCCTCCTATTGCTCAGGGATGTTAAGCCCTCCAATGCACCATGACTTCTTACTTTCCTCTGAAACTACATTATTTACTACACTTTTTCCTACTTCCTGTCACCTTCTCTCGATCCCATCATCATTCTCCTTGTTCCCTCCCATTGGCATAATAGTAGGCAGTTCTTTTTTAAATGTCACTCTTGCAACACTAGTGGAGATTTATTTACTTATTTATTTGTTACTTCTATTCCAGTAGCTCCAGTCATGGACCAGACTGCACTGTTGGAGGTGCTGTGAAAACACAAAACAAAAAGGCAGTCCCTGCCGCAAAGAGCATACAACTCTGGAATCAGCATGTAGCTATAATTATTCATATCAGAAAGAAGCCACTGGCACTGTAGTGATGCTCAGTCCAGAGGAGGAAGGGTCATGAGTGCACTGAAGGGTGAGAGGAGGAATGGGACAAGAGCTTTAAAAATGAGTATCAGAGAAAAAAGAAAATGAATTATTTAATGTGAAGAGTGAAAGGCTTGGCTGGGCTTCCTCAGGAGCAATGAAGTTCATGTGAAGAGGAGATGAAGGCTGTGGACAGGATGAGAATTCTGACTTGAAATAGTAGTGTGTTTTGAAGGCAATAGCAGGTTAGGACTTTGGACTATGAAGATTAAAAAAAACAAAGGACCTGATATGGGCCAGTTTCAGTTATCCCATTCCTGACTTTGTAATGTGTAATATGCTGTGATATGGTCCAGACACAACAGCATGAAAAATGCTGAGTGGTCAAGTAAGAATAGCTGAAAGGATTTCAAACACCTTTTTGAAAAAACAATGTGAAAGGATTTATAATCAATGAAACACTGAAGGTATTATCCTAAAAAAATCCAGTGTGTTTAATCAAGCTCCTTTAATTTTTTTAAAACCAGTTTACTAACATATTGAGTTCTGCTCCATAATTTATGTATGGAAGGTGTAATAATGGCTTCCTCAGAAGCCATTTTACCATGGTCTTTGCAGCTGCCTCAGATGGAGTTTCTCAATATGGAGGTGATAGAAGCACACATCTACACAGCAGAGATATTTCAGAATAACTAACATTATTCTGTGTCTACACTACAAGCAGCTATTTCAAGATAATGTCAAGCTGGAGGACTTCTTACTCCAACTCCTGTAACCCTAATTTTACAAGGAGTAAGGGTATGTCTACACTACCCCGCTAGTTCGAACTAGCGGGGTAATGTATGCATACCGCACTTGCT